AATCTGTGTGCTGAGTTATGGATGAAGAAACAGAAGGTAGGACATTCTTAGTCCTTTCAAGAGAGGAAGGAAGTAGATCATTTTTAGAACCGCTTTTAGCCTCTTTATTATGCAGTATTTGATACTGAAATTTTTGGTTTTCTCAAGTTAAAGGCTGATCATTTGCTCTGTCACCTCTGTGCAGCTTTTTGGACAAGCTTTTTCACAGAGCCCAGTTTTGGATGTTCTTGCCAAAATTGCACTTTTTTAAAATTTATACCAGAGGATGGTCAGAACTCACATGTGATCTTACATCTGACAATCAGTTTATAGGGACATATGACCAGAGACTTGATAAACAGCCAGCTGGAAGAAGTAATATCTTACACAGTATAGGAATGTGGGAATAAATAAACCGAAGGGCCAAAAATCCTCACCCTGGGGAACTGTGGAACTGGCACTGCGAGACTGTTGAGTTTGTACATCCTCAGAATGAAAGGACGTGGGCTCAAGCCACACGTAAATACAGATTGAGATCAGGTAAGAGTTTTGATTGCATTAAATCTGGTAAGAAAATTCCATGAAAGCTACTGTAATTTCATATATTTAAAATCTGTTCTCAGTCAAAGACCAATTAATTTCAATAGAGATGCATATATGTATATATACATACATATATATATACATACATATATAATTCCTTGAAGGAATTCCCACAGTTTTGAATGTTTTTTAAAATCCCTATTTAAGATACCACTGTACTGGAAAATTATTTCTGTTTGAGACAGGGTGGGAATTTAGTGGTAACAGCACTACATAAATATTCTACATATACAAGCTTATCACAGAACATGATTACCTTACTCGAGTTTGTATTCTAGAACAAGCACGTCTGCACAAGAAGTTATTCGGTAAGAATGCTGCTTTATTCTTCAAAAATTCCCTGCTCAGTCAAGCCTTCAGTCAAATCAGCGCAACTCTGTGTGTAGATAAATCATCAGTCTATCCCTGCTTACATTTACAGGAAGTCTATAAGTTCCCAAACGCAGCTGATAGATATGAAAAGGTCGCCTTTGTTTGTAGAATAAGCATGGGTCTTACAATTCCCCCACCATGTGAACCTATTATTTTTTGTTTCCTTTGAAGACCTTATGAACTGCATATCCTTCATATTTTGTGTTCAATGTTGTTAGTAAATTAATAAGTATGAAGCAGAAATGGAAGACCTTTTTCTTTCCTTGTTTGCTGAATAGCCAAGAGGGAGAGTTTGTCTGACAATGTTCCACCAACTTGAAATAAAAGTTCATGAGAGAAAAACAAACCTGTTTTTCTTTTGGAAAAGAAATAAATAAATCTTTGCACTAGTTCATTTTTCCTCATTTAAAAGAGTGTTAGCCCTTCTAAATATAAAGCTTTTCATTTCTTCACGTGGTCTAAGTATTTTCATTTGTCACTTGTATTTTTCCTTTCATGACTGCTGCCTTTAAAAAAATAATGTCCAAGCTTCAGAACTTCCACTGTTAATTTCTATCATTTATCTCTGTTACCAATTTAGCTGTGGTTATTTTTTAAAAAGTAAATAGCAATTTTTGCATTTAAAGTGAGACACAAAACTAATGAATGTATGTAACTAAGACTTGCTGCCTGTCATTTAAAATATCAGTAGTAGTTCATATGTAGTTAAATCTATTCCTTTTCTACTTTGTGTAGTTTTTGTACCCCCCACTTTAATATTCTTCTCCAATATAGAGTTTGGCACTTCAAGAACAGACCGGGTGGTCTGATTAGCATCTTTCTCTGAGCAAACAAGTGTATTTTTTTATTCAGTTAATCCAATTGAGCCTAAAAGTTGCCACTACCAAATGGCTACTTTCTTGTTGTAGGAAATTGTGCAGTGCTGGTGGTGCTGGCATGTTTAACACGAACTTGCCCTGGCAAGTTGTCAGAGAGCAATTCTCAAAGAGTGCGTGAAGACTGATCTGCCTGCACCTTTAGCCCCAGTGCTTTCCCAAACAGGTTGAACAAAGAGGTCAGTAATATTATCACACTGACTGTTGTCATGCTGTGGGTATGAGCCCACATCACTGCTCGAAGTCGCAACAGACTATAGGTATCAGGCATTATGCAAGTATTCAGTGATAAAGTTTTTAAAAATGTGCAAGCACCAGACCAATTGGTTTTCTTGCCTGGGAAGTCATGCCAGATTTACAAAAGAGCATTAATGAATAAGGTAATTCGTACATTTCAGATATGTGCTCTTTCTTTAAGCATGTATTATCAGCCTTAGCAATCATTGGTTGTTCTGATCTATGACATGATAAAAATAAAGATATAATTAGGAGTGAAACAGTCTGTAATTGTGTCACTGCCTGCCCAAGCTCAGTATAAATTTTGCAGTGTGTCAGCTCCAAGGCATTCAAGGCAGAAGCTGCCTAGGAAAAGATCATTCCTAAGGCCTGATTGTCTCTCCTTTGCAGATGTGGGATCAGAACCAGCACAATCCAAAGCACCTCACCCTAGTAAGCACACCATCTCTCAGCAGACTGTAGCAAGGGGACAAGACAGTAAATGATACGCTTAGATCTAGAGATTTCCTCAGGGCTGTCATGCTGACAGCACCTTGACTCAGATTACAAAATACCCATTTCTTTGTTCCTCTAGTGTCCCTTTTTAAAGTATATGCTAAAGAAAATTATTTCACAAATTGCCATCTACCTGAGTCTTCTCTGGTTCAAATGTTATTCCCTTTTCTTTTGAATTTTCTTTACAAAGAGCTGTTTCCCTTTAAATCAGAAGATTTTATGTCTGATATCAAAATACCCTTTTTGGTTGTTCACTGTCTGTGTACATTGCAACATGGTGTTTCATTTTAAGGAGGAATTATCTTTGGCAGGCTTCTTCTCTTCAGAAATATAAAAGTTGATTTGTTCTACTTAAGATTCTGTGGGTTTTGCTAATAATTCATTTTCCAAAGGAAAAAAAGTAATGGTTTGTTGGGATCGCCTTTCTCATCAGAAGGAAGTTTTTACTTGTGATGTGGTTGGCTTATACTGGTTGTTTTGTGATTTACCTCTAGTTTAAAAAAAACAAGTTTGGGATTTTAAAGAGTTGGAAGGAAAAATACATCCTTTTTAAGTCTAATGTTTGTCTAACCATTAATGCCAATCACATTCCTTCTCTTACAGCGCTGTTACTTATGCTGCATTTTGGCCCTGTCTACCAACTCCCCCATTTCAAGACTTTTCAATGGGATGGTGCTAGCTCATCAGCAGTGCTCCATTGGTTACAAACCTTCTTCTGATTTTGCTCTTATTTTATTCATGGCCAGCTAAAATCCACTTAGTCTTGTGCCAAAATTCTTTTAATTTAAATAGTCCTTCCTTTTCTTCTCCTAGCATTTTAAGTAACACCGTTAGACAGCAATCCTATCCTCTAAGCTTTTGTTATAGTAGACAAATCAAGCTTGTTTAATCTCATTTCATAAAATAAGCTTTCCATTGCACTGATCTTCCTAGTAGTCCTAATGCTCTACTTACTCTACTTCCAGTTAATCTCTCCTGAATGCAGGTAAGTAGACTGTGTGTGGTATTTCAGGTGAGCTCTCCCCTGCGCTTTCCATAGTGCTGTTAATTTTCCATGTCTCTGTTGGAGGTTACTCCACTTGCCTGACACCTGCGATCTATAATCATACCGCATTTCAGAAGAGCCTTATTAATACTGAGAAATGATACTTCTGTAAGCCATGTTAGCTTAGAATACTTGCTTTGTTTTTATCAAGGTTTTTTAGTGTAGTGTGATCCACCTTGTATAATCCCAGGCCGTGTCTTAAAAATGTCCTTTGGATTCACCTTGAATAACTCCTTCCTGAATTTTAAACCAATTTGCTTTACTGCCCCTTCTATTACTGGGATCAGAACGATGAGCGTAAAAATCTCAGGCTTTGTTCCCCCCGCCTTAGAGTAGTTTGTTCATTCTTTTTGTGGCAGTCTTGTTCTGGTTAAATTTGGTAGATAGTCCTTGATACTGATACTGATATGATCTCTCGTATTCCAGAATTCTGAGCTGTGGTGAAGATTAACCAGGCTCCTGGAATTCAGAGCTGTAACAGATGTAATTTTCTTTCTACTTCACTTGATTTTCATTTTCTAACATCATTCCTGTTAGCTACGTACCTTTCACCTCATACTCTGTATTTAAATTAATGCAACATATCAGTTTGAGGTTGGGAACATGCCTGCATTATCCTTAATCTTTGCTACATTCCTTTCTTTCTTTGATTTTATGTATGTAACTGAAAAATATTTTTATCCATTTTAATATCTTTTGCAGAGCCTAACACAGCTTCTCTTCTGGCAGTTCTTGTTTTACCTCCGTGCTTCTTTGATAAGGACTGATTAGCAAAGAAAAGGGATTTTTCACACATTATTTTTGTTTTTATGTAATCTGTTTATTGCGGTGATAGTACATCCAGTTATGTCTGTGTTATATTTCAGGTTTCTTTTTCTTTTCATTTCTTCTCTGTGCTTGCAATAAAGACTCTTAGCCATCTTAACATGCTTGGCTTTAAGTAACAAGTCTCCATGCTCAGTACATTAGGTCCTCAGTCCAGCTGACCTGACCATATCAGTTTGCCCTTCTGAAATTTAAACTTTTAGTTGAAGACTTACTTTTGTTTAATGTAAATCAGTTTTGTCTGACTTGATCCAGAGCTAACTTCTACAAATGGCTTACTTCTAATATTCTCATTACATATTAGTAATAGAATATTAAACATCTTATTGTCTCTTTTTGTTTCAGTGAGGGTTTGATGAAGTGCATTCAACATTGCATCCAAAAATAATGGGATGTTGCTGTTGTGGGAAGATCTGTAGTCCAATCTATGTCTAGATTTGCAGCTATAAGCAAATGCCCTTCACCACTACTCCAGGGGGAAAAAATAGCCATGTCGTGTTGCACACAATGGGTCCTGCCACAAAGAATGTCAGAATCTAAGATATTTTCCATGGTTTCTTATACTGTAGGAAGCTCTGATAATACTACCACTAGAGTTAAGCTGAGCTTGAAAGAAAGGAAGAAAGGAAGAAAGGAAGAAAGGAAGAAAGGAAGAGAAAGAAAGCAAGAGAAAGAAAGCAAGCAAGAAAGCAAGCAAGAAAGCAAGCAAGAAAGCAAGCAAGAGAGAAAGAGAGAGAGAGAGAGAGAGAGAGAGAGAAAGAAAGAAAGAAAGAAAGAAAGAAAGAAAGAAAGAAAGAAAGAAAGAAAGAAAGAAAGAAAGAAAGAAAGAAAGAAAGAAATAGCACCTGCACTTCAGCTCCTCTGAAAATCATTTTCTTGGACTATAAAATGGATTAGTCTCTAGCCAATCTTTAACTTGCTTTTGAGTAGGTATGCATATATAGCCCACTGTTCACTCTGCTCTGCCTCCCATTCCATGTCTGCATCTGGCCAACAGCGGATATGAGTATGTTACAGCTGCTAGCTATACAGTATTTAACTTGAGGTGTAAAGGTTTGTGATTTAGCCCTGGAGGTCCCAGGTAATGAGCAAGATGATTATTATTACACTTCCAGAATTGTATGTACTCACATTCCTAAGGAGAGCTTGTGATGGGGGTGTAGAGAGCGTAGTTTCTTTTTATCTGTTCTAAAGCACACAATTCATTTCTTTCCAGAATTGAACTATTACAAAATACATCAAAAGAGACTTCACAGAAATACGTCTGTCCTCACTTTAGTGTTTGCAACAAAAAGACTGGGGTAATGTTGCACAAATGAGTTTAACATTTAATAGATGATGAAATAACATGGTTATGCAATGATTGTTTTCAAGATGAATATATAAAACTCACCACTTGGTTCTGCTACTTCTCAAGTCAGTGTGTAAATGAGTCACTGTGTAAACGAGTCACTGTATCCATCCACACACAAACTGGGCTAAATACTAACCTAAAAGTGTTATTTGTTTCAGCCAGTTTGATTAGCTATCAGAACAGATGTAGGTATTTTTCAAGGTGCTCTGTACTAAAAAAATAATAATTATTATTATGCTGTTCTTTACATATAAAGTCTCTCTTTTTTTTCCCCCTTTATTACTTGCTCCCTAATTTAAAGGATTTTTAATTCTTCTTGTTGTGGTTTATTTTTAGAATTATTATTCCATTATTTTCTTGGAAGAGTGCCTGGTCAAGTCTTCTTAGTATAAATAATACATACAAGCTAAAAATGCACACATTTCACCATTGCTGAAATGCAGCAATCTTTTAGCTAAAAACTTTGAAAGAGGCCTGATGGGGCAGCTGTGACCATTAAATTCCCTGTGTTCTTACTACCTTGGGAGATATCAGCTCAAAGTTGACTGCACATGTGTTACAATGGCCAAAACCCACTTGTGTGTTCTCCTTTCCATCTAAAAGCGTGTGTGTGTGTGTGTTTGAGGTCATTTTTTTTTACCTGTTTACTTCTGATCCACCTTGGGTGATCTCTTCAGATTTTTGGAACCTTCTTGTCACAACTGGAAAAGCAAAATTCCCACAGTTTCCTCCGTGGAAATCCCAAGTTCCTTCACAAATTGTCATGAAAAATAAAACTGTGTAGAACATACTTAATTCTCATTAATACAGAACTTGAATTTATAAGGTTTAGGACTTTCTTTTGTTATTATTATTATCATCATCATCTTTTTGTCCCAGGAGAATTGTTAGAAAACTTTTTCTGATGTCAGATTGACGAGAGTTTCACACCAGGTTTTGAGTTTAGCATAAGTGTATGTTTAACAGCTTAAAAGGATAAATGTGAAGTGACACGATCCCATTAAACAGCAAGCACAATTAACCATGTGGAACATGGTGTTTATACAAGCCTAACTGTTTTTGTTAGAAGAGTAAATATTTTCTTCTGTAGAGTTTTATTTTTTTATTCCTTTATCTGTGATATGGTACATAGGCAGCTATAATGATACACAGGTATCTTCTCTAATAGGGATAAGCTATACTGGTAACATTTATCACTAATGGTATTCAGCATTATGTATACTTTGAGAATATCTACATGTAGGGGGAATTGTACCCTTCTAACTCAAACAGCTTGGAAATAGTGTAAAAAATGTGCTGTCAATTGAGGAGGTAAGACGTGCTTTAACACATCCACAACTCATTTAACTCTAGAACAAGATGGTGACACTCCTGGTAGTCAGTTTGTTCAAAATTTGTCAGTGCCTGATTTGTAGATACATCAACAACTATTTGTTGCTCCACCTAATGATACAGTTAATAAACTTTTCTTTCATTTTCTCCATCTGGTCTAAATTCCATTCTCAGTTTTTTTATAAACCCATTGATGTAAGTAGGATATCTGCTTTTGATCAAGAATAGCTTTTTACCCTAACTCTGTAAAGTCAGCATGAAGACCATAATTAAAAATGTGATTAGTTCTCTTCATAAAATCTCTTTGACACCTCTATTGGAATGCATTTAGCAGCTGATCCTTCTGAAAAAGAACTTATTTCTGCTCATCTGTTTTATCTGGAACATATTCCCCCAGCCTGCTGGTGCAATATATATTTAAGGAAATTGTAATCTTGCAAAGGCAGGGGAGTTAGGAGGGTAGGGAGAAGGATGTCAAAAAAAAAAAAAAAAAAAAAAAAAAAAAAAAAAAAAAATCTTAACATTTTATCTTAACATTTTTGAGTCATAGGCTGAAGTATTTTGTTGTGGCAAATGGCTGTACTATTATGGGTTTTTTGTTGTTTGTTTTGTTTTGTTTTTTGTTTTTAATGGAGTCTCAGAAAAAAGAAAAAAAAAAATCAGAAAAATGCCAGTTGGGATAACTAACATTTTTGACTGCTTTTGCCTGTCTGTTGGTGGCTCCTTGTGGAGCGCAACATTGGTGTGGGTGAGCAGCAATAGGATGGGATGGATGATCTCTCGTGCTTCTATATGGAATGAAGCAAATTGACAAATACCAAAAAGGAGAACTGCATTACCATGCAATGCCAATTCTTCTACAAGAACCTCATTACCCCTTTTATTTGCTGTGTAATCAATGCAGGCGGTGTGAAAATTTTAATAAGGCCTTGCTAGGCAAAGGTTGCTGTCCCCTAACATGTAGTGGTGCCTCGGACTTGCTTTAAGAAGGGATTACTCGAAGGTTTCTGTTATTTATCTAACAAGTTAGTGGGTACAGATCAGTGTTGCATCGCTGTTTTACCTGAATAGGCGAATATCCAATTCTGTAATTACCATCTAGGATGCAAAGGGTAAGTTGAAAGTGTTATCTCTTTTTCGTGTAGAACGTTTATCTCTTGGGTGAAGGAAGACTTGGTGGGAACCTGATTAAATCTCCTTCTGAGCGCTGACTGGGAAACCGGAGCTCCAGGTTTTGGCAAGCTCCGCAACCAGCAGATTTAATAGTCTCGTTCCTTCCTTCTCCTTCCCCCGGCCTAGTGCATTTTTATGCAAAGTGAAATGCCTTCAAAGGAGGGGTGGGGATTTTTCCCGCATGAGAATAGCCCAGTGATTAGGAGCCCTAATAAGCGAGAACTGTGGGCTTAAGACTTCCAAATCTGAGAATTGATGTGTTCTGCATTGAGTGCTTAAGGCATGGAGAAAAAGCAGCAGGTGATGTTGGCAGTTCATCCTTGCTGGTAGGAGAGAACATCTCCTCCAGAAAGGATTAGGCACTTTGAGCTGCACAAGACGGGAGATAGGTTTCCTGCAAATGTCAGCTGGATGTCGGTTTCAGAATTTGGTCCTAAGATTACTGACCTGAGTGAAACCACATTGTATTGCAGCTGCAAATGTGTGTCTTGTGATGGCTGACAGGGTGTCAGGAGTGGAATCACTTCCACAGTGTGTTCCAATCCCAGCTCAATGGATCCCTCTAAAGCTGTGACAGTGGGATACACTGTGCCAGAGGCTTTCTCAGCCACGGGGCTTTGCCTTGGAAAGAACTGAGCGGTTGGGAATCCCTGGTTCTGCTGGGCTTGCCAAAAACGGCAAGGCCTTTTGGTAATGACACGGTCACCAGGTGACTTCCTCAAGGCCGGGCCACCCCAGTGGCTTCCTCCCTGGGAAGGGGGGAGTGGACAAGTGCCCCGGCAAAAGGAGTGGGCTGGGCCGGGGCTGGCAGGGCTGGGAACCTCGGGGCCGGGCTGCAGGCGGGTAACCGATTGCTACTTCAGCTCAGCGTCTCGGTCAGTGGGTAGCAGCGAGTGTGAGAGGGAAGAAAGGCTGGACAATCAAGGGTGGGGCACAAACGCTGAACCTGCAATGGGAAGGGTAGGTTCGTATTTACCGGCAGTTCTGCTGTCCTACCTGAAACCTGCATATGTCTTCTGTCACCTCCAGTAGTTATCTCCATCCATTTAACAAGGCTCTCTCATCACCCCCATGCCTCCAAGTGCATCTGTGCAGGGCGGACACAGCCCAGCTGGGTCCGGCCCGTGGGCAGCGCCGGAGCCGCGGGGCTGGAGCTGCCCGGTGTGGGCTGCGGGGCGGCTTCGGCTCGGGGCGGGGTGCAGCCGGGGAGCACAGGGCGATCTCTGGTATTGAGCAAGTGGACCTTCACCTGGTGGACCCAGGTGAAGGCTGGTTGGGCGCAGTACTCCTAAAGAAACTAAGAGGGAATGGGAGAAGGGTTTGTGCAACCTGGAGCCTGTGTACTTCTAAGGAGAATTAAACTTGCAGTTATACATCGAAAATCCTTTCCTAAAAATAACTGCTGTCCGTCCAGTAGCGGTAATGACTCACTCCATAAGTGTTCCTCGGTCTGTTTGATCTCGGTCGCTCAGTAGCGTTTCACCCCTCCACCCCACCCCCGGTTTAGAAACAATGGGGAAACGCGTTGCTGGGATTCGTGCTAATTTCTCACCGGCGATACAGGGGCTGTGTTCTGTAACAGCGCGGATTATTAGAAACTCGTAATTTGCAGTTCGCATTTGCCATCAAGATCACAGCAGGGAAAAAAAGGAGACTCGAGGCTGTGGTGGCTTCAGTAATTCCCCTTCCTCGCTTTCATGCGACGATGGAAAGAGCAACGCTTTCAGAGCAAACTTGCTTGAGCGTAATATACAGTGACTTCAGAAAGTGC